GATGGAGGATAATTTAATCGGAAGAGAAGGAGAATGAATAAAGAAGCAGTAACTGGAGGTACTCAGAGTTGCATAGCTGTTTCCGGTGATGAACAAAAGTATAAAGAACCCCTGATCCAATTAGTTGGGATGCGCTCATATCGCCGATGTATCCCTTTTTATATTTTTAATTTTTTTATTGCTTAGATGGTTGGACGAGCTCACAGCCCATCTGGTGTTAAGTGGTTACTGGAGCCCATAGACATCGACGACGTAAATGGGCCACCCACCTTGAGATATAAGTTCTAAGGTCTCAGTATAGTTACGACGGCTGCCCCACCCTTCAAACCGAAACGCATTACTGCTTCACGGCAGAAATAGGCAGGGTAGTGGTACCTACCCGTGCGGACTCACAAGAGGTCATACCACCAGTATCGGCAATGGTCGCCACTTAATATGAGGTATACCATAAAGCCGTTTATCTTCAATAAATAAAAACAAGCAATTCAATTTTCCATCTCCGTATAAACAAAAGCGTCGCCTTGTAGCAAGTAGCGCCCATTAATCTCAGCTCCCAGAACATTAACATTTGTATTCACATTAACATTTTTATTGCGAATCTTGTTGCAGAGAAAGAATGAAGATAAACTGATACAAGACTGAGTCAGAATCTGTATTGTACACTTATTCTTCTGCGCTTAACGCTCTTCTTATACATAGCGTCTGTTGACAAAAGAACAACTGATGGTGTGTATTCGTGATCTCTCATGAACATCACCAGTGTCGAGGACACCGTCAAGCCGTTACGTATCATTGAGTACTTTCGTCCTCGAGCCCAGTTAGAAAAAGGAAGCTCTCATTTTTGTAAACAGAATGAGACCAATCGGTTTGAAAAATTATAATTTTATTTTAATAGCTTTGGCAAGAATTATTGGTGTATTGATATTGATAAATTTTGATTCATTTTGAAACAATCAAACAGTAAAATGACACTTCGTTTTTGAATCGCCTGATAAATTGATTTATCAAATAAATGAATATTTGTAAAGTTGCACGAGATCAGCGCTAAACTATTCTCATAAAGAAAAGGCTAAGCACCTGCCCTTTATAATATGAACTGTTGACTGATTTTCTGCATAAGGTTGTCGTGGCCTAAAAGTCCAGACGATCTGTGCATTCCTTTGGAGCGATACAACTGTGCCGATGTTCGAATCCCGCAGTCATTTATGCCAAATTTTCTAATAAAATACGTACTTACCAAACATTTACGAATAAGTAAGCAATAAAAAATATAATTGGCATATTCTCTAGAATTATTTTTACTACTACTACTGTATTTTCTGCCATATTCTGTCTGAATATGCGTAACAATACTTCCAATAGTAGGTATAAATACAGACTGTCTCGGTGGTAGGCTGTATGATGGTAAAGAGATGATGAAGGTGTCATTTCGAATATTTCCTCAGAGAACATGTCTTAGATCTTTTGAGACTACCTCCCGAACAGCAGTCCTTCTGAAATTGAGATTGCACAATTATTAAGAGTGTTTAATAATCATGATATATAGTGAACTTCAGATTGTCTTGATATTCTCAATCCGTCGGACTACAAAAAAATCATCTCGTTATACGGATATTTTAGTTCCGCAAGGAGTTACCCTTTTTTTCTTTTTTTTTATTGCTTAGAATTGTGGACGAGCTCACAGCCCACCTGGTGTTAAGGTGTTACTAGAGCCCATAGATATCTACGACGAAAATGCGCCACCTACCTCGTGTGCTCTCGTGTGTATGTGTACAAATAAAGAATAAATATATATATCTCGATCATGATTATTAAACACTCTTAATAATTGTGCAATCTCAATTTCAGAAGGACTGCTGTTCGGGAGGTAGTCTCAAAAGATCTAAGACATGTTCTCTGAGGAAATATTCGAAATGACACCTTCATCATCTCTTTACCATCATACAGCCTACCACCGAGACAGTCTGTATTTATACCTACTATCTAGTTATCTACTTATATCTATCTAAGATATAAGTTCTAAGGTCTCACGTATAGTTACAACGGCTGCCCCACCCTTCAAACTGAAACGCAATACTGCTTCACGACAGAAATAGGTGGGTTGGTGGTACCTACCCGCGTGGACTCACAAGAGGTCCTACCACCAGTAAATATACATATTTAACATAGACTTCGATATACATATTTAACAAGTGTTGAGAAACAACTTCCACGACGACATAGGCCTGCCCAACTTTACGTAATCAAATACAAGAGAAACTTTGAGCTCATACTCAAGTTAAGTGACAGTACTCACGTAGCGATGTGTATCACCTACGGTAAGCAGATGCGCCGAGAGCTTATTCATCTATCAATCCAGTTAAATAAAAATGAATCTTTATGATCGGTTTACGTATCATATAATTTGTAATCTAATCTATCTTATTAAATTATATTGTATAGTAATATTTTGATAATTCTTCTAAGAATTTTATCTAACTTACACATCTTTAAAAACAGAAATAAATTATATAAAAAGAGTAATAGCGCAAAACAAAATTTTACGTTCCCTTGATATTTATTCAAATTGCACATAAACCCTTCATTTGAATTACAAACTTTCCAACGTATTTTACAACAAAATAAATCACATTTTCCGACGCAGACCGTGCGATCTTGCATAAACTCAAAAGCGTCCTCCGAAATTAAGTTTCTGGAGACCGCTTAAGTCCAAAAATCACGTTACCAAGTTCATACTCGGCGCATACATTAGTTGCAAGACGAGGGACTAAAACAAAATCATTATTCAAATCCACTGCTGAATAATGTTTTCAGGAATCGAGACAGAGTTCAGAGTTTTGTTTTTGAATTTGAATACGGGATGGGTAACACGTTCCGTCAAAGGAGATCGGTGGATGTCTCCGAGCTGCACTAGCGAATGACACGGACGTCATACGAGCGGGTACAAAATTGTAAGGACCGTTTTATATAAAGCTGATTTACAATAATATGTAATAATGTATTTCCCAACTTGCATGCAGCAGAGATGCGAATGTTGCGATAGATGTGTGGAGTAACGAGAATGGATAGAACACGGAATGAATATGTTAGAGGAAGTCTGAAAGTGGCACCTGTGACAGAGAAATTGAGAAGTGCGTATTTGGGTTGGTATGGACATGTGATGAGACGAAATGAAAATGAGATTGGTAATAGAGTGTTAACTATGAATGTGGAAGGATATAGAGGAAGAGGTAGACCTAAGAAGAAATGGATGGATTGTGAGAAAGACGATAATATGTGTAAGAGGGGAGTGAGCGAAGAAATGATATATGATAGAGGAGTACGGAAGGAGAAAACATGTTGCATCGACCCCAAGTGACTGGGAGAAGGGCAGGAGAATGGCGATGATGATATGTATTTACCAACTTATGACTGCTTGCAACGAAAGCTTAGTTTACAGGTCTCCTTCAAAAACACATCTACAGTTACATCACTAATAACATGCTTGGTGTTTATCATACTCATTTGTCAATTATTAAATAAAATTATATACTCGTAATGCTAATAATTTGACTGATAATTTGGTATTGGCAATCGATGTTTTAGTGTCTGCCAAACACTTTGCAACATTTGCGTCAGATACATTTTACAGTTTCTATTCGAAAACGTCGGATTTGTCCGTTTACCTCGCCAGCTTACCCGGGTAGTGTCGGTGACCGATCAAAGCGCGCTGATCAAAGGACGCGGCGGTCCGGTCGAGGACAGGAACCGGTAATTAGCCGCCCTCACTCAGGCACGTACTCTCTACCAGACACCTTCTTGAAGTTTACATTAGAGTTATACAAATATCCCAGTGGAATGAGATTAATGGAACCAAGTCAGGACTATATAAATAAGGTTTTTATTATTATGATACACCTAATATTTATACTTTCACAGAAACAGGTAGGTACGTATGGTATGGGAAGCTTTAGCTTACTTAAATCCAATATCACATTTAATGTATTCACAGCGCTTAAAACACAGATGGTTTAAATGGACTCGAGCATCAACTATATACCACGAAATCATCATCCAAATACGTGCCGCGTCATATCGTGACAGTAAATCAGCGACGGAATCAATGACTGGTCAATAACAATGCATTAAGAAACAAAAACAGCGCGTTATGGCGAGGGGCTCGGCGCAGACTTAGGGTCGAGCTCCGTGTAATGATATCCGATGTAAGATATCCGACGTGTATCGGCGTCCAGCGGCGATCGACGGTCACTCGGTCATTACGGCCCTCGCTCTATGAAATATTTATGACGACTCCCATAATAACGCCGGCGACGATATCATTATACTTTGTGATGGGGGTGTCGGGCGGGGCGGAATTTCTGAAAGCTCCTTACAATTGCAAAGTCGCAATCGTTCGCGACGCAGTCGATGCTCCCGCGAACTTGTAAACGTTTTATGTTAGAAATAATGACGGCGTCGTCCTTGATCACGGGCCGGCCCTGTCTGTGCGCAGACGCGGCGCCCCTGAACTGTCCGTATTAAGTTGTTAATTAGCTCCATAATACGACTTGCAGATGAGCCGAAACTTGTGAATACATAAAGATCCCTTTTTACCGATCGCATGCATTGTGGCCGGCGTGTGCGGCGGCGACCGGTCGGGGAGGCGGCTCCTGACGTATTCGTGCCACCAGCCACCAGAAGTTTGCCTGTTCATAAATAAACGCGAACGGTATTCAACAGCCCTTGGTGCTGTATGCATAACGAATTTGAAGGAGGCAAACTTGGAGGCTCTGCTGACTGGGATGGAGTATAAAATTCAGTATCAACATGCTGGAGGTTTTCATTCGACGACTTGCTGTCGGGCGCGACATATCTCCGCGATAATTAGTAACGTCACACGTAATTATCTATTCATTCGCATTTAAATAATACTATTCGTAGTATCAGTTTGTTTTTATAAAATTAATTTGATGTCGCGAACGTTGGTGAAGTTTGGTACAGTGAATCTTTATGAGTAATAATTTATGTAAATGAATGTTTTACTGTTGTTGTGAAGGTGCAGTGCTTATCGCGGGTGACAGTCGGTGTTAATGCGCGGGTTGAGTGCGTCTCGTCGGCCATTTTGCGGTTGCTGTCAGCGCGATGTGTGGTCCCGTCCACTAGGCGGCGTGCGTGTCGCGTTGTCTCACGGTAATATGGCCGCCAAAACACGGCTGTTTTGAATATTTTTGCATCGAATCTACAAAGTTTTATCCTTTATTCTGTTTTGAAGCGAGGGACTTGTAAAATTATAATGTTGAAGCTTAAAATTTAATACGTTTTATTATAATTTAAATAAACTTTAGTTTAGAAAATAAAGTTATTATGGAGTGAGTGAATTTTAGTGAAATTATTTAGAAAAGTAGAACTTGCTTTAATATATGAATATTAGCGTAAATATCAGCCGTGAATCTCTAGTCAAATATTTAAAATCTGAACTATAATTCAATATTTCCGGAACGTCGCCTGCAATACCTGACTCGTGTTAACATGACGTCACTGGGATATGTCACGCGCCTGACATGTCATTTTCCGCACTAGCGCATATCCGCAGATGCAGAGCTAACGTGCCACGAAAATAGTCACCGGCATATTTAGGGTTAAATTTCTGTGACTAATATTAATGGAGGTACGATAAAATTAAATATTTTTTTCGTTTTCAATTAATTAACGTGACGTGCCTTCAAATTTCTGAAACAAGTATAAATTAATACCCAAAAATAAAATTTGATATTTTTTTTGCTTAGATGGGTGGACCAGCTCACAGTCCACTTGATGTTAAGTGGTTACTGGAGCCCATAGAGATCTATAACGTAAATGCCGCCAATCACCTTGAGATATGAGCTCTAAGGATGAGTTAAAACGGCTGCTCCATTCTTCAAAACTCACTTGTTATTGTCATCGGGTTAGAGTCCTTCTACAGTGCATTTCCAGCAGCTATTTTTTGCCGGACATTATCTGTCTTTGGAATGATTTTCGGCTAATATCTAACTATCATAAATGTCGATGAGAACAATCACCTATTTTTTGGTCTTTCAGTCGGCAGTTGAATAATTGATAGAGAAGGAATATAGACCTCATAAGCCAAAAGTTTTAGATACGTATAGAACGATAACAAGCCACACTACCTATTCCTTTACTGGGGCTTTACGACAGATAATTCAGTTGAACGGATAAATCGCAAGTGTAGTGTGGCGCCGCGCCTCGAGCCAGTGATCGACCGCTCCCGACGAGAGGATCCCACGGTCATTAACACGTACAGGGGGTTTGCGAATTATCTTACTACAGGTTTTTCTTACATCCGTTAATTCGAATGATAACTAAAGATGTTACATGATCTTCTTCTATATCGTTCCCTCACTACTGAGGATCGCGACCACATGTGACGTTCTTCCACTGTGTTAGATCATGGGTGGCATGGATCGCACGGTACAGATCAAGTGCTTCTCTGATTCATGTCTGGGAGACCGCATGATGTGTCCGAAGAAGCTCATAACACGTTCCCGGCAGATGGAAGAGAGCCTTTTTCGAATTTTTAACTCCCTTAGAATGGACTCGTGAGTTCTCATGGCAGTCCACGATATTCGTAGCATCCTCCGCCACATGATACATGATACGTACCACGTTTTTGTCACTTACTATCCGGATTTGGAATGAGTTCTCCTCTACGGTGTTTCCCGAATGTTGTGACGTCATTTCCCTTCTTCAAACGAAGCTTGTGAAGAATACTTAACGGTAAGCAGCGGCTTAGCTCTGCCCCTGATATTGCTGGCATCCATGGGCTACCGTAACCACTCAGCATCAGTTGAGCCGTATACTCGTCTGCCTAATAAAGACACGGTGTGATGAGGACCACCTTCTAGTTACTGCTTCTCCATATTTTTCTGTGGTACGCCTATTCGATCCTATCTGTTGTAATTTTCCACTTAATTCCTATCTTGAGTATAGTGGTGGAACATACTCTAGGCGTGCTCTAATTAATCGAATAAAATTCCTACCAAACGAAGACCTCATCCTCATGTCTCAAAATAAGATCAGGGGCGAGGGGTAGTCACACATAATGTAGCCCTAAACTAAGATTACGTATTAAGTAGGTACTACGAGAACCATAGACCTATATACATATTTTATAAATTATAAATATGTAGCAAATATATCTCAGACGGATGCTTGCCGAAGTAAGAATCTAAGCCTTCGACCACGATGAGTATTCGAACAGAGATTTAACTGGAATTCAATAATACCAGACTAGACATCAGTTAGTCAATTACGCCAATGAAAAGTTTTTTTTTTTTTATAGCTTAGATGTGTGGACGAGCTCACAGCCCACCTGGTGTTAAGTGGTTACTGGAGCCCATAGACATCTACAACGTAAATGCGCCACCCACCTTGAGATATAAGTTCTAAGGTCTCGTATAGTTACAGCGACTGCCCCACTCTTCAAACCTAAACGCATTACTGCTTCACGGCAAAAATAGGCAGGGTGGTGGTACCTACCCGCGCGGACTCACAGGAGGTCCTACCACCAGTAAGACTAGGTACCACCACTAACCACTTGACCAACTAAGCGATTAAGAGTGGAGTAAATTGAAATTATTTTTAAAATCCAATTATATAAAACAATGTAACCACCCGTACGTCAAATATCAGTAGTTAGCTCGTGATCATTGGATCGTCTGTTTGCAGAGAGCGTTATTATCGAGTAGCGACTTCTCGATCACGACTCTCAAGTTAGGAATCTCACCGGAACCACATTTTAAAGGCTCTGATTGATGGACAAGCTCATCATAACTTCTTACTGGACTTTTAAGTGTATTTTGTTGGTGGCGTTACTCATCTTGAGATGTTAGATAGAAGTCTTCATTGTGTTGGTATAGTGGCTGGCCTATCTAGCTTTAGCTGCACGTAGTAACATCCAGGTTATCCTTCTGGGAAAAAGAACAAAAAAAAGAGAAATAATGTCTATTACCCAGAAATTTTCTACGAGCTTTGATCAGTTGCAGATCTTTCGGCCCACGCAGTGCTAAATGGTTACCGGGTCTAACTGGTACTGAATTGTGTGCCAGCCGTGATATCACACTTTTCTATTGCCCTTGTCACAAACAATTGTCTTATATTGAGGACTATACAGTTTCCTGCTCCTATAGCCTGAACTCAGTAATGTTTGGCGGCAGATAATAATTAAGATGTTTTTGCCTAGTTTTGTCAACAAATGCCACACCAAAATATAGACTGTGACTAGGTTTTTAATATCGATAAACTAACTAAACCAAAACCATCTAAATATAAGCGGTCAGTCTTGTGTACACAGTTGACGGTGAACAGATACTTTACGTAAATAAATCTAGTAATATCTACACAAGCAGAGATACTTGTAGAAGTATTTCACGGTGTAATTCGAACGAAACCTGCCGGAGCCGCGTAACGAGCGACGCTGAATGACATAAATCTAAAAAGAGAGAGAGTGTACAATTTTGTACTTTTTAACGGCCCCAACGCTAAGGAAACCGCATTTTTATTCAAAATAGCCACTTAGTAAATAAAATATGTGTGTTTCTGAAACAAAAAACAGGAACTGGGTGGAGATTGTCCTTTTTTTCCCCGTTTCCTGATGCACTTACTTTTCTTTTGTCTGTTGCTTTTTATTTTTCTATTTAGTTAAGCGTTCGAGGGGTAAAATTTTGTACACTTGAGACTAATTTGGTGGATGTGAATAGAAATATTAAATTTATAGCTATGAACTATGGAGTCATATTATGAGAAATTTGTCTTTAAAAGATAAATTTAGGCGAGGAGCGGCTGATCTTTTTTTTCAAAATAAAATAGGCATTGAGGGTATGTATATTAGCCTATGGTACCCCTGATTATGATTGGCTTCCATCGCTCAGGGATATTGACAATGGCAAGAGTACAGCAATTATTCTTAATTATGAAGCCGTGAAGCAGTAATGCGCTTAGGTTTGAAGGACCGGGCAGCCGTTGTACTGCAAAAACGGAGACCTTAGAACTGATGTTTCAAGGTGAGCGGCGGAATTTACTTTGTAAATGTCTATGGACTCCGGTAACCACTTAACACCAGGTGGAGCGTAATCTCGTCCACCTATCAAGCAATAATAATAAAAACAAACATTAGCTATTCAAGTATATCAATATGTACTGTATGTATGTGCAATCACAAAAAGGGTCATCCTGTCAAATGAAGCCCTTGCCACTTTTAGCCTAGTTTGTAAATAGCAGAGGCAATACAGTTTAAATGAATTTGAATCCCTATAAAAATTATTATGTTATTAATTAAATTTGATTTTTATTTAATAATCATTACAATGAACCATCACTTTCTCATACGTAACTGGGATTTTGTGAAGCAAGTAACAATGTAATTCCCGTTATCAAGATAGTGTTTTATGAATTAACGTTTAACTATACAAATCAAGAATTTCAATAACAAGAATCATTTAAATAGTAATTTGATTAGTTTTTATCTCAAAATTATGAACAACATAAATATATTTGTTATATAGGTGTTCCCTTTACTTGCACTGAAGTGTATACATTAGATACTTTCCGTACCGAAAATGTTTAGTTGTTAAAAATTAGCATTCTTGAGGTCCCTTGCATTGTTTCAGCTTGAAGCGAGCCCATTAATTTGTTCGGCTTTTATTTTACCCTTAAAATGGGTAATTTGATAAAAGCTCTGCTTTCACGAAAGCTACAAAGCTATAAACACGTTTTTATCTACAACAATATAATTTTGCAGTTATTAAACGCATTCGGTTTACGAATGAAGATACGCATTTAAGATTCATATTATTATGTTCAAAAACATTTAATAAAACATGACAGTATGAGGTTAGTTTTAGTACGTTCTTCATCACAAAATGTCTTAAATAAACCCGAAACGACACAAACAGTTTCCAAACTATTTGTTTCAATGCATTAAAAATATACCTTCCTCTCTTTCTTTCTTTTATATCAGAGTAGGTGCAGGTACAGTTTTCTTTTTACACGCCTTATATTAGCTTCACTTGTACGTATTTTTGTAACTGTTTCCTTTAGACACGATTTTGACCCACTTTAAACAGCCAGATTTCATTCAAACTTTGTAGATTTATGGAGGACCGATGACAATACACTAATTTGATAAGATTATT